CGAGATTTATATGAATTTTGCTGCCGGAACCGTCGGCCATCCGAGTGGAAAGGGTTAAATGTGACTACATACTCGTAGTACCGTAAAATAGAACCATGCTACTTGATATTGTCAATGCTACTAAATACTGTCAAAATGCCTTTTATTTGCAATGCTATCAGGCGTTCTACACATAAATTGCAACTTCTCTCATATGTTATCAAGACACATCTCAAATAAGCAGTTATGTTAACATCGTTTTTTTGTGCGTTTTTTATCTCAAACGCCTGACTGCACAGCAACCGCACAGCAACCGCACAGCATTTCGTCAGTTTTTAGTGCCACTTTTTATGAAAACTGCCACATAACATAGCCTTGGCATAACATTGGTCTATTTTGCGGCAGAATATTAGTTGATGAAAGTTAAAATGTTTATTGTTCAACGAAGTTGATGGGCCGATTCTGCCGTAAAATAGACCCATGCTATGACAAAGTTTCGTTCAAATGTCATACAAAATGCCACTAAATCAGGCGTTTTACAAATAAAATGCGACCCCACTCATATGTTATCAAGCCATATCTTAAAAATTCGTTTATGAAAACATGGTTTTTGACATTTGTGCGTTTTTTTTTAACTTCGTTAAGTTATAATAATCGCAAAAAAATCGAAAATGAAAATTTTTATATATTTTTACGTTTCAGAGGTGTCTGAATATATTGGCATACCTCAGAAAAAATGGATGTATATTGTGTGTATGTGTGTGTGTGTGCGTGTGTGCGTGCGTGTATGTGTGTTCGGATACAAATTTTCGTTGACGATTTCGGGAACACGGATGAAGCGATTTGAATAATTCAAAAAACATTCGATTCGTATTGATAAGGAGACGTGCTGATTAGTTTTTGGCGAAGGCAGGTCTAGCCGTTAGAGGGCGGCGCGGCGCTTACGCGTTTTGATAATTTGTCTCTAATATACAGTTAAAGCAGTACGATTGCTTTGAAAAAAATTTCAGAATTCCAAAATATTTCAAAATACACTTTTCTTCAAAAAGTCTTTTTTTTTAAAAAAAGTAAATTTTTGTCAAAAATTTATAGTTTCTCAAAAATCTAATTTTTCAGAGTAAATTTTTTTCAAAATGTTAATCTGTTTAAAAAAAAAATTTTTTTTGGTACGGGAAGTTTCAGCAATTTGCCTTAAGGCACGATGCCATGAGCCCCACTAGTTAGTTTAGGTTTCCTATCTAAAACGCCTGACTGCACAGCAACCACATAGGATTTTAAATTTGATAGTACCACTTTATATGAAAACTGCTACTCTACATACTTTCAGCAACAATGGTCTATTTTACGGCCCTTTAGCATATAATACGTTTAATTTTTTTGACGTAAAATATTTGTTCACAAGGGGAACCTCTGGTTTACACTTATGGGATTTTGGTAAAACTTTGCCTGGTGATAGTGTCGATAGTCAAACCGAAAGCATTAAAATATTATAGGCCTATGAGAAGTGGTTTAATTATAAAAAATAATTAAAATTGCGAAATAATTTAAAATGAGCGCAGAGCATTTTGTGTTGATATGTATAGTTAGCCAAGTGGTTATATATGAAAATTGAAAAAAATTAAATGTGCAGAGTTCAAAGAAAATTTGCTTACGCGATTAAATGACAAATAGGTTATCTATCAATCTAGCTTAATTCATAGTTTTCAAATCATTCAAAATTTGTTGTTCAAATCTGAAAATTATAGCACACACGATAATAAAACTAATGCAATAAATAAAATATAAATATATTTAATACTTGAATGTAATATCTAACAATTATCATTTTTTGCGTAAATTAATAGTTCCTCAAAATACTTGAATAGTGCTACTAATTTAAGATTTAGTAATAAGATTATGCAAGTAAAACAGTAAGCTCATCCTTGAATATTGAGTAAAAATACTAACTATTTACTGACTCTTTGTAAACAAAGTTGCACTAAAATCAAAAGATCGTACGAAAATAAAAAAATTTGTGAATAGTTGATTGATGCATGATTATGCATTGACTATTTTTATATAAATAATCTAGCACTCAAACAAAAAATAAGACTATTTCAGATACTCTATAAAATTGCCATACCTTTTCCGTGTCACGGAGCGAATGAATTTACTTATTTTCCGAAACTGCTTTTGAGTATTTTATGATATAATAATGATTGCAATGAAATACCAAATTACACATTTGTCTAATTTTGATAATTATTTCCATATAAAATAAAATTATAAGCAAACCTCCAACTACAACTATTGAAATTTCTCATCATGTGTAGATATATCATGATTTAGATATTGCCATTATTAAACATATAACGAATTTATTTATAGTTAGTAACATTTATATATCAGATCGCAGAAAGATAGTCTGGTAGCATTTTTTATTAAAAATTTCCGATGTTGTCAAAAAACACGAAGTGTGTTCAAATACAAATATATCAAATCATTTTTTAAGCGTTGAATTACTTGTTATTGTTGTTATATCAGGTAATGACAAATGAGATGCACGACTGTCCTCGGAGGTAGACAAAAATAATATACCAATAAAAAAATACAGACAAATCAATTCTAATATACATAAAATAAACAACGAACTAAACATATATAATATTTTCTTAACATTTATACTTGCATTCTTCTTCAGTACTTCATAAAACATAGAAAATATATTCTTACAATTTAAGCGAAGTAAAAAACATTTCGTTGACGTTATTATAGTTTAATGAAAAATGTTAGGAATTTGTAAGAACGTTTTAATATAAGGTTGTCAAATATCTCCCTTCCGCCTTTTTGTATTAGAAACCAAGAGCAAAAAACGGAAGGGAGATATTTGACAACCTAATATTTGTAGTCAGCTATGATTTTACGCGGATTTTTATTCACCAAGTTTCACCTGTGTTTGGAAAACTATTTAATATAAAACTAATAAAATTCTTTAATACAAACATTAAAATTGCTGGTTCTTCAGCTGACATGTGTTGGTAATAATTTATACAAAGTTGCTAATAATAAGTTTAATGAACTATGGTGCTTGATAAAACTTGTTTACATTTTTTACAAGGCAAAATACTTTCTTACGACATTTGAACCAGCAATGTTTTTATATCAGCTGTATCATGATATTAAATGCAGCTCATGGCAGGTGTTTAATTAGAAGAATTTGTTTTTAATAATATGAATCGGGTTACAAGTGCATTTGTTGAATGAAATTAAATTAAGGCCAAAAATATTTAAGACGTATATTATATATTGAAGATTACTTAAATTGCGAAAATAAGGCGTTGAATTCAAAAGCGTTTTAACTAACGGAATAAAATGAAATGGTTGCTAAAATTTCGGAATAGAGATAAAGATTTCCTTCAGAGCCCGTTTTTTATCGTAAAATAGACCAATGTTATAGCAAGGATATGTTATGTAGCAGTTTTAATATAAAGTGGAACTAAAAACTGTCAAAATCATATGTGGTGCTATCAGGCGTTATAGATAGAAAACGTGACCTAGAAAATGCACAAATGTCATAAAAATGATGTTAAATAACTGAATCCTTGAGGCTTGATAACATATTGGTGAAGTAGCATTTTATGTATTAAACCCCTGATCACACAGCAAATACATGACATTTTTACAGTATTTAGTAGCATTTTGTATGAAAACCGGAACGAAACATAGCCTTGCCATAACATTGGTCTATTTCACGGCAGAATCGGCCTATTATTTCGTTGTTTGGAAATTGTACTCTTTCTTCAGCTCATGGCAGATATTTAATTAGAAGAACTTGTTTTTAGTAATATGAATCGAGTTACAAAGCTCATTTGCTGATTATGAATGATATTTAATTAAGGCCAAAAATGTTTAAGATGTATAATAAATGTTGAAGATTACCTTTAATCACGAAAATTAAGGGTAATTGAAAATGTATAAGTTTTAATATAGAATTTTTCTTTCAAAAGCGTCTTAACGTTAGCGGAATGAAATGGAATGGTTACCAAAATGCTGAAACAGTTTTTTTGCTGGGGTTGTTTTTGTCGTAAAATAGACAAGGTTATGTTATGTAGCAGTTTTTATATAAAGTGTAACTAAAAACTGAGTAACTAAACAGTGTAACTAAAAAAAGTGTAACTAGAAAATGCACAAATGTCAAAAAAAAACGATGTCACATGACTGAATCTTTGAGATATGGCTTGATAATATATTAGTGAAGTTGCATTTTATGTGTAAAACCTTTGATCACACAGCAAATACATGACATTTTGACAGCATTTTGTATGAAAACTAATAACAACATAGCCTTGCCATAACATTGGTCTATTTCACTGCAGAATGGGCCTATTAGTTCGTTGTTTGGAAATCGTACTTTTTCTTCGTAATTGTTAAGCAAAGACCTTGGAATCACTTGACTCTGATAGTAATTAAATGGGTAGTTCTGCCTCAAGGCAGGTCCATGAGCTGAGTTAAACTCCAACTAGATTTAGGAAAAAATAGTGTGCGAGATTTCCCATTGTCGTTTCAGTGCTCGAGTTGAGATATTTTCAATTGAAAACATATTTTTGATTCATATTTTCAAGTGAAAATGGGCACAGCCAGTGGTGTTGTCGAGCCGGAACGCGCCGGAACGTCGTTCCGGCAAATCAGTTTTGGGAAGGAACGCGTTCCGGCAAGAAAAAATATAAAAAAATAGCTACATACAATCGAAAATGATTTAATAAGTAAATTTTATAAACTATTATTCAACTAATTTTTATTAAATATATGTGCACACAATGGGTTTTGTAATAATTTTTGTTTCTTTCCTTTTCGAACGGAACCGGAAAAAAACATGAGAACCGGGTTTTGAACCGCTTTATGAACCAGTTTTTAAATTTTAGCGTTCCGACAAAAAATATAAGCACAACACCACTGGTTTTATCAAAGTAGTTTTTAATTTAGTTACAAATTGAGGTGTTTGAACTAAAATATTAATTACGATACAGTAGTGTATTTCAAATTTCACATATGTTACTTTAAGACCGAAAAGTGTCTGATGCCCGATTATTTCGGATATAAGTTGGACTTGTTTCGAACATAGCGGGCGTTAGTCGAATAAAATAAATAATTTAAGACATTCATATAATGGAAATTGATTGTAGCGAAAAAAGCAATTCTATAAATACAAAAGCATAAGAACTGCAAAAAAATGTAATATTTTAATAATTGGATTGGAATTGGATTGTAATTGTTGAATTGTAAATGTACTTGTAAATTTTTACAATCCAACATTTTTTGGTAATTTTTTTAAATCATTGTTTTATTGACATTTATTTATTGGTAAATTAGTTGACAATTTATAGCAAAAGAGTTACCCTGATATTTCAATAGACTTATTGTCTAAATTTCGGCCTACAAATTGAGATTTGTATGCATATTCATAGAAACTTTGATCTTTTAAAAAGCTGATGAAGGTGCTGTGGAATTGATGATCACTCAATTATTAATTAACCTGGTAGTAGATTAAAAAATTGGACTCCTAGACTAGTAATTCCCAACGTGGGGCACACGCCCCACAGAAAAATCAATTTTTAAATCCAAAGGGGGGAGGCAAATTAAAAAATTTCACGACTTTAACCCACTTGCTTTAGGTGATTTGAAAGTAATTTGTAAATACTGTTAAAAATCGTTAAATATATTATGATCATTGTTTAGTTTAATGAGCACAAGATGCATGTGCAAATCATATAATTTTTCCATATATATTTCCATAGCTTAGGTAAATAAGCATCCCTTTTTAGGTCTAATGCAAACTTTCTCAATATTACGGATTATAGAGAAATTCCAAATTATGTATGTATTAGTCTGTTTATTTATAAATTGCCATCCCTTCCTGACAGCGGTATAATAATTTTTATATTATATTTTTAAATTTAGAATTTTTAGAATTCAGTAAGTTGCGAGAATAAGAACATCTTAAGAAAATCAGCTCGCACAAGTTACTGAAACATTTCATAAAATTTATAGTTCTATGTCTATTGTCACACAGTGCACACATTGGTTTAAAAGTGCAGTAATTAATTTTCCATGAAGTGATAACGGCAAAGGCAGCAGTAAGGTGTAATCGATGCCTTAACGGATATTTTGGATATTTTAGATATTTAATACCGAGATAAAAATTCTTATAGAAGAAATAATATTTATAAATTAAATCTTATGTTCATTCGCATGTCTTATACGCTAACACCTACATCATAGGTTCCTATTCGTGTATTTTTATAGCCTTACGTATGCCTATACGTTGCATTCTATACTACACGCCTTACATCTATACCATACGCTATATTTCATCATATACTTTCAAATCCCTACATTGTATATCGAAAACACCTAACCTATATCTACTATATATCCTATTACCTATAATTTTCTTACACGCTACATTAACCCTACCGAGAATCGAACCCAGGCCCGCCGCGTGGAACGCGACGACGTTAACCACTACGCCACCGTAACGCTACAATCAACCGTCTTTTTTCGCGTGTCGTCGCGCCACCTTAGTATTAATTACCTAATTAATTAGAAAATGACCAGCGGAAACAACAGTGCGTCCCATATTATATTATTAATGGGGGTACCCGATAGGGTAGTGGTTAAGGTGCGCGACCGCCACGCGGAAGTCCCGGGTTCAATTCCCGGTATAGACATTAGATAGGTAGAGATAATACATAGGGCGTAAGGTAAAATATAGGTGAATATAAAAATTAGACAGTAGTATTTATAAGAAGTAAAAGGTATGTAGGTATATAATAAGTTAATGACGGTATAGGTATCTCACACGGTATGATAGATAATAGATATCTATCTATGATATACAATAATATAGTATAGTATGATAGGTAATAAGTTAATTATCATATTAATAGGTTAAGTCTTATAAAGTATTGTAATAAATCTTGAGTACTTTTCTATCATAATAAACACCTGTAGGAATTAATGAATACAAATAATACCAGAATAAATATAATTAATATTATTGAAGAATATAAATTATATTCATACTTGTACAATTTAATGTATAAACTAGGTGTATATAATAGAGTTAATTATATAAAAAGTCAATATATTAGATTTATGAGTTCTTATCGAAATATATCAAATTTTTTGAACCAGTTTATGAACCCGATTTTAAATTTTAGCGTTCCGGCAAAAAAAATATTAGCACAACACCACTGGGCACAGCTACTGCTCGATGTCAGGTTCTCCAGAGCTCTCACTCAAAGTTTCGATAATTACCTTTTTCTAATATCGAGTTGTTTACTTTAATAAATAATTATAAATAACATTTAAATTTTGTGAAAAAATATGATAAAATAAAGGAACTATTAATTGCTCTCAAGATTAAAAGTATTGTAGGCAATTCTTGAACAAAGTGGGAAACTATCCTATTTAAAAGACTAAAATCAGACAGATTAGTGTATATATATATATATATATATATATATATATATATATGCAATTCTGAATATGTTTGAATATTTCAGTTTATAAAGCCGACTGCCCAATATTCATACGGTGTTCTGTTAATGAGTTTTTACGATGCAGGTGAAACTATCTCTACCGCCATACAGGCTCCATTGTTTCATACAGCAGCATTTTTACTGTTCGGTAAGAGTAATGATTATGATTTAACTTTAACAGTAGCAGTATGAATTAGCAGTAACCAAGACATATTTTTAATTTGCCTCTTCAACTTCCAGTAAAGTTATTGTAATCGTCTGAAACTCGAAAATGAAAATCACTTATATACTTCAAATAAATAATTTTAACTTTGCAATTTAGTTTATATAATTCTTATAAATATTAGACAATGACCTTCATTTTAAATCGCATTGATTAAGTTTTATTTATTTACTTTTTATGTGAAGATATATAAACGTCGTCGTACAATTTATAAGCTCTTATATTTTATCTATAACACACGAATAATAAAAGCAACAGTATTTATAATAATCTATTTGAAAACATCTACTCCTCCTAGATCTAATACTCCTAGAATATATCAATACGGTAGGGAAGTTCCAGCAATTTGCCTTAAAGCGGAATACTGTTTATTTTATTTAAATATGACGTAAAAGTAACAAGAATAAAATATTTTTGTTATATTTTGTTTTCTAGAATGCATAAAAATGATATTGAAGTACTTTCTGATAATTATTTTCTGCGTAGATACTTTCTAAGTGGGTTCCAATTAAAATTTTGGTAGTAGAAGAAAAAATTTAAATCGAATGTTGGAGATTAAAAATTATTTCAAACAATCGAAAAATATATACTTACTTTCTAAAGCACCAATAAATAATTTAGCATAATTAGTTGTTATGAATACTATTGTTACCTGTTTTCCAATAATTACATTTTATCTAAAGGGTTTGCTCTCGCACGTCTTAAGCTAGATCAACTAGGAAGTTGAAAATTATATATCGGATTTTTTTTCTAAATATCTTTAGAATGCATATCATATAAATCGTTTATGGTGCGGCCGATATTGTATGTCAAAACCATCGTAAGAATTTTATTTAGCTACATTTGCCATATTACGTTCACATCGGTTAAGCACACAATAAAGCATGTTTGTCTAAGAATATTTTACAACATATATATATAGAATTAGGTAATAGTGATTATATTACAATTGGGAGATATGAATATAATTATCGTACATATTCTTTAAACTATAATGATGATTAGATGGCAAAGATTTTCAATCAACCAGTAACAACCTTATCTATCTTGTAAGTTAACATTTACCTTATTTTATCAAACATTTTTTTGTTTAGTTTGATTGCTAATGTTTACTTTAAATCTTTCCCATTCCATTTTTAATAGAATTGTTGTATTTTTATCTAGTGCCATTAGCTCGTTCGGCTGCTCCACGATGGGGTGCTCATGTTCGCACGGTGCCATTGCTGGGGGTTGCTTTGCTCTGTGCGGGTTTGGGGCTTAGTGCACTCTTGAGCGTCAGTCGCTCAGCGGCTTATATCGCTTGTTATGGATTGCTTGGGGGTATGTATTTAAATGTACACAAATTAGTCTGTATTATATAAACTTCCATCTTCAATTATAGATTGCTGAGAAACTGATTTTGTTTAGGATACATTAACCCTTTCGCCACGGTAGTACTTTTCGCAGAAGTGTCATTGCTGTGCGGGAACAGCTTTGCCGCTCAGTTGCACTACTGAACAGACAGAATAATATTTTAAGATATTCCTATCATTATCAATAAAAATGTAATGAAAAATTAAAAAATACGCATATAATGAACTAGAAATTACATTAAAAGATTAGAATAATACTTTGAACTCATAGTGATAGAGCTTAAAGCAAAAGCAAACACAACATGTCGTCTATGAACGATATCCGTACACAGCACGTCATGTGGAAGTCGTCCAGAGACAACATCCGTAGCGAAAGGGTTAATAGTCTATATTCAGCAAACTAGTGGGGCGCATGGCATCTTGCTTAAGGCAAATTGCTGGAACTTCCCGTACTAATAATTATTTTCTTTTAAAAATATTAACATTTTTGAAAAAAAATCACTTTGAAAAAATTAGATTTTTGAGAAACTATAAAATATTGACAAGAATTTAACTTTTTGGAAACAAAACTTTTTGAAAAAAAAGTTTTCTTTATTTTGAAATATTTTGAGAATTCTGAACTTTTTTTCAAAGCAATCGTACTGCTTTAACTGCATAGAGACGAAATATCGAAGCGCGTAAGCGCCGCGTCGCCGTCTAACGGATAAACATTGGTACGGAACCGAAAGGAATGTAAACAAAATTTATACTAACTGTTAAAATCTCTATAAAATATCAGGTAATTTGATGTGCATATGTCTAATGATCATTTTTGACCGCCAAATGGCATTTTTTTTTACTTTTTTCACTAGATCTCCGAAACCGCTTCATCTTGAGTTACCGTTTGTGGCACCTTTTTAATCAGCACGTCTCCTTATCAACAGCAATCGAACGTTTTCTGAATAATCGAAATCGGTTGAACCGTGTTCCCGAAATCGTCGACGAAAATTTGTATCCGCACACACACAAACACACATACATAAATTTTTTCCAAGATATGCCAAAATGTTCAGAAACACTGAAACGTTTTCGATTTTTTTGCGATTACTATAACTTACCCTACGGAAAGTTAATAACCTATTTTTACTATACAGGATTATCATCTTCATCAGTTTACTTAATAATTTACCCGACACTTAACAGTAATAATACTTTAAATTAGAGACAATAATGATTTGAAATGGGTTTTAAGTATAAAAAATCATGTAAATATTTGCTGTGTAAGTTAATTTTTATACAATCAAATCCTAAGTGCAGTATCAAAGAGAATATAAATTTTGAAAATAATTGTAACAAATGATAAATTTAATATGAAAATAAAATAAATTCATTCGTTGAAGACTATTCTGATTAAAATGTATTAGTATGGATAAGGATTTGTAATAAGTATTTTTGCAAGCCATCAAAAAAATTAAGTGAAAATTATTTTTAACACTATACTTACCAAGTACCTACAAGTCAAAATACCATTTGCTACTTTTTGTAAAACAACACATTTTTGGCAATGACAATGGGCAATTCTGGGAATATGCATTTAACGTATTGTTCGCTCTTTGTTTCTAAATGTTTTTTTTTCAATATTTTTTTTATGGCCGAACATTCCTCGCGGTAAGAATTGTCGTTAAGTTTAACGTTGTACGTTTAAAATAATGAATTTTCCAACAAGTTATATTTTTAATTGGCTGTACATGTTTGAAACATCAAATTGCAGGCGCCGGCGCCAGTGTTGTTGTTGCGCACGTCGATTTCACAATTAACCGGCTTTTTGCCGGATATCCAGGTCTAGTTCAAGGCTTGTGTCATGCTGGTCAAGCTGCAGGCCAATTTGCAATGCCACACCTCACTTTAGCTGCCATTCAAAGATGCGGACAAAGAGGAACACATGCTGTCTTGACAGGCATAATGATGAATATGGTAGCAGCTATACTATTGATGACACTCAAAGATAACAAACGAGAACAAACTCAAATTAATGTGAAAAGGCAAGTAATTGATGGTTAGAGATCTTCATTATTATATACTTGATATACCCAGGGCCGGTCCTGCCTTGCATGCAAAAATGCGGGCGCACGCCTTAGGGGGCGCCAAAACGAGATTCGGAAATGAAATTTATAATATATTATTTACTTTTTTAATATAAAATCTAGAATACTTAAAAGATTATAATAAACAATCTATTTTAATGGATAAAAAGACACAAAAAGCATATTGAGTTTGCAATGTCAAATCAGTAGAAACAATTCATTACTCTGCAAATTAGTAAATTATTGTTCTGCTCATTGTTTAATGCACTTATTAAATTCTTCTCGTTCGAAGTTAATGTGGATTCGAAAAACAAATTATCTAGTGTTCAAACCCGAATGCGCAAACCTACGAAAGTTTAAATTATTGTACATTATTGACGAAAAACTACGAGCTGATTTAGTTTGAACGAAACTTGTTAAAAAAAATAGATACAAATTATAATAGAGAAACAAGGAAAATCGGAAGTGCATAGAAAATGGCCTATTAAGATCGAGAAACTAAATAGTAACTTTTGTTTTTGTTGAAAATGTTTCGCATCTGATGAAGTTTGAACGTTGAAGACATACGTGGTTAGATTTATGGAAATTAAGCAAATATGAAAAATGAAAGCAAAATGTACTAGAAACAAGAATCTTGAGCTTTTTTATACCTATTGCTGTCCATACTAATTTTAATTATTAACTAAGCAGAAATAATACAAATACAAATATAATTGTGTTTTGTTTTCTATATAGTAAAGAAAATATGTAATTTCTTTGCATTTTTTAATAAAATACGTTAAAAATTTAACTTTAAAACAACAAAGTAAATATGAATACAATTCGGTGCAATAATATGAATACAATAAGAAGTTTACGATGCAATTTTGGATATTGTAAATATTGAAAAAAAAAATTAAAATACAATTTAAAAAATCCAACATGAAAACAGTGTTCTGTTTAAAAATGATATAAGTAAAATATTTCAAAATCTGTTAATATGTTAAAAATACTTGAAAATGTAAAATATTTGATTATGGTCAACCCGCAAATCGCTTCGATTTTCTAAATAAAATTAGAATCAATGTATTTTATAAGCTTTTAGATTATATTTAATTTTTTGTGTACTGAATCCAGAATGATTATCCCCTTCGACTCGGGTGCCGAAAATTCGCGAGTGGAAAGTGTTAAAATTCAATTTAAGGAATTTATATAAATATTTATATAATTTTTATGATAAATGTTAAAACAGTTAAAATTATTGGGGGGGGGGAGTCTAGAACAAATCTTGCATGCGGGCGCTGAGGACCCCAGGACCAGCCCTGGATATACCTATAAATGTATGATTGTGAGAAATTATTTAAATAGAAACTATGCCCGTTTTAATTTAATGTTGACTTATTACTCATTACATATGTCCTTTAAAATCATCGATTAAAATATGGTTTATTATCATGGCCGTGCCTGGGTATGTGGCCTCCTGCGTGCGAGCATTTTTTGGCCGCCCTTGAAAATAACATAACAGGAAAATATCAATCATGTTCTCACAAAAAAATCGACTTGTAATTATTATGTTTTCTCTACGTTTTTAGTCATTCTGAATCGTTTGAGACCAAATTTGAAAAAAAAGTGTATACGTGAGCCGATTTTTGAAAAACGGTTAAATCGATTTCAGACATTTATGGACCGATTCTGCCGCATAACAGAGAAATGTTACGGCATAGCTATGTTACGCTCTGACTTCCATACATCATGCGAATGAATCATACTGAATGCTGTCAAAATATCATGTATTTGCTGTTCATTCCGGCGTTATATACATAAACTGCAACGTCACTCGTATGTTATCTAGTGGTATCAGAAACACACACTTATCTAACATCGTTTTTTTGACATTTGTGCGGCTTTTAGGTTATGTTTTGCATCAGAAAACCTGAGAAATTTGCCTGACTGAACACCAACCGCATAACTTTTGTCTATATTACTATGGAAAATTCTTCATAACATGATCTTATCATAAAATTGCGGCAGAATCGGTCCCTTAAAAGTCATTTGATGTAACTAGATAACGACTATCGTCTGTCAGTTTTATACAACAATCATCAAAAAAGTGTACAAATTTTCGTACACTTTTTAGCCAATAATCCTGCATCGTTTTTAAATATTCAGAAACTGTTTGAAAGACTTCATCTGGGAATCGTTCTGATTAGTTTTAAAAGATCGGTCAGATCGTTTATTCATATTTAATTGTCAAATATTTTTTTACGATGATATTTATAAAACTTTTTTGCGAAAGAGATCACGATCTCAATTTTAACTTAATATTTCGACCTTACAACAAGTCGTTTTAATTTTCAAAATGTTATCAAAGTTTGAAAAATGAGCAGCACTATTTTACGTGAGGCAAAATTTTATCTTTAGTCGACGTTTTCTTAGAAATGCGCAATCCTATTTGAAAATTCGATAAACTTTGATAAGCACTCGTACTGGTTAATTTTGCCTTACGATCGGCCGAGCCGTTTCTTTAAAATTGAAAATGTGTCAAATTTTTCGTCCACGTTATAGCCTAAATTCGCGAATCAATTTTAAAAATTCAAAAACTATTACAAAGGTACTATTTGAAAATCGTGCTGATTAGTTTTTATCAATGATCGGTCGAGTTGTTTCTCAGTTACTGATTAAAAATTTTTTTGGCGACGTTGAATCCTGTTCTTAATGAACATACTACACGTTTTTCCTTATTCGATAATATTTAATTTTTAAACTATTTATAAAAAATAACAAACAACTTTAAAATTTGTACAAAATTGAATAATCTGCGATAGTTTTCATTTTGCAATGCGCTCTTGAATTAATATATTTTTTATAGTTACGTCGAAAAATCAGGCATCTTGCTTTAAGGCTAAGTTGCCATTTACACCAAGTTAATACACTTATTAATGATTTGGAAACAAAGCTTTCATTCGCCGCTTTTTGATTCGATCTCGCCTTCAATACGGCCGTTTTCAGCTGTTTTTGACTACGGTCGTCTTTTATTTCAGCGGATTTTCAATACGGCCGTGAATGAATTCAACGGACTTTTAATTTGGCCGCCTCCTAATCGAGCGATCTTTCAGTTGGGCCGCCTTTTAATTCATTAGACTTTCAATGCGACCGCTTTTTATGTATGGCCGCCTTTGAATTTGTGTTCTTTTTTTGATTTGGCCGCCTCTCGGTGCACTCTCGGTGCACGCTCTGCACGCTGGCCAGGCACGGCCCTGTTTATTATTTTTGCGACAGTTTGTGATTTATGTTTTATTTATATACATTCCAAAATTTATGAAAGATAGTAAAACAGATTTATATTTATTGAAACTTTAATTGCTTGATCATAATCCAGTGATTCTGAACCAGAAAATACTTCGTTTCCTGCGATTTCAAATGCATTTTCACCCGAGGAACAGTTTACTGAAAGATGTTGGCGATGTCCATCGGATGGAGCAAATTTGCAACCACTGTCACCGCCTTTGATTCGACGGTCCTCTTGTGGCTTTGATATTTTACAAAGTATTCCAGAAGAAAGCGAAGCAAGTGATTCTGATGATTACGACGACATCAACGCTACCACGATAATACCGCTACAAAATGGTTAGTAAAATTGAAAATGTATAACTTATTTAAGTCGTAGCCTTTAAATAAATCTTTTTATTGTTCAAGGGATATCTGATAAAATTATAGAATGGCATAATTATTAATTCGAAATATGAAAAATACAGAATTTTTAGGAATGTCTCTAATCTACAATATTTTGTAGATTTTATGCATTAGAACGAAGTATTAAGATTTTTACAATCTAGCAAATTGATAAAGTAATTTAATACTCACAATCAGGGTGGGTAGCATTAATGCTCTTGTTATATCGAAACATTTAAAAATTACAAAATTTAGTTTAAAATGAAGAAATTTGGCAGTTGAATTAATTTTACTATCATGGCAGGGTAGTACATACTTATATGTATCTTTTTTTATATTTTAGGCCACATAGGTGCCGGTGAAAATGTGCAATCAATTAAGCATCACGCAACTATATTAGATCTGTCAGTTTTGTCCAGTGCTAAAACAGACATCACAATTAAAAAAATTCTACCTAGAGTACGCTTTCCAAAAGCTGTGCAAGTTAAAAGCTCTCTCGACGTGTTTAGAAAAGTAGGCTATATTCATAATATTCAGAATGATATAGTTACAATTAGGATTTACAATATTTTGGTAAAAATCGAATTAAATAGCAGATTGATATCCTTACACAATTTGAATTAAAATTAGTGGTGCATGGCATCTGAAGGCAATTTGCGGGACCTTCCCGTACCATAAATGAAATATTCATTATTCGTATTTTATAGACAAAATATAAGTGATTAAGTGATTATAAATTGGATAATGACATTTATATATCTGCTCTTTACCAGTGATGGACCTTGTCACATATTTTAAGAATTATAAATTGAGTTTTTTAAAATTTTAGGGAAGTATTAATTCAGTTTAATTGCAAAGTTAAAATTATTAATTTCAAGTAAATAAGTATGTTTTAAAGTCTTAGCTGGAATTTAAATCAAAATCTGAATCATTTTTCATATCAAGTTTTTTTGTGAAATTAAAAAAAAAATTCTTTCCCCAAAAACCAATAGTTTCTTCACACTGTCAACACAACCAAAATGAATCTTTGAATCATAGAAATCAGATAACTCGTTCTCTCAAAAAAAAAAAACAATATTTTTGCACATTTAGCTGCGTATCTGTCTTTGCCAAAAACTAATTACCACTTTTCCCTATCATCAAAAAGGATGTCTGTTTTCTCAAAAACTTAATTTATTTTTTCTGAACTCTTTGCATCGTATCTCCGAATCAGTTGAACCTGGTTTTGACAAATCAGCACGACTTCCTAACAGTAGGAATCGAATGTTTTTTGAATTATTTAAGTCGCTGGTACGCCCGAAAACGTTGACGAAAAATTGCATCCATACATTACATACACACATTAATTTTTTCCTAGGTATGCCAAAATGTTGAGAAATCTTCGAAACGTAAAGATGTGCAATATTTTTCATTTTAGATTTCCGGACGATTACAATAACACCCTACGAGAAGTTAATTACACTAATTAAACTATAGTTCTAAAAACTTGATCAAAATAACTTAACACTATTGAAATCATTTTTCAAAAATATTAAAATCAATTGAAAAATTAAAAGTATAAATACATTAACTAATTCCAGGTAGAATTGTATCCTTGTATATTGCTATCAACATGTGAACTGCTACTACCACTTTTACATTCCACCTTGACACCACTTTATGCCAGAACTGTCTTAAATGACTTGACTGACTCCGAAGCAGTATTCTTGATGTCTTTGGCTTCATTTTCATGGCTGTGCTTAGTTTTTGGTGCACCATGGCTAGCAGCATGTAGACCTATGAGAATGAGATTTCTTTTCGCAATTGGGATATTCCTAAAAACTATTGGTTTGACAGGTATGCATCTGAAATAAGAAAGTTAGATATAAGAAGATTTTCTAATATAACGTTTAGTCTATTGCATTCAAGAATCGCTTTATATTGTTTAATTATAAGTACGATTTTTTATCTGTTTACAAGTAAAAAATCTATTTCAATGACTTTTCAATTAGGGACTTTTGTATTTTGTCATGAAATCAAGAGTTTCTGATGCATATCGTGAAGTTTGATATTTATTCTATTATTTTTTATTCATACTTATTACGTTGCCATTTAAGGTCCTACTTTAGTAATCTTGTCCAAAAGAGTATGATGTTCAAAATAGTGTGATTGGACTAATTTATAAGTGTTACATTATATTCAGTGGTGTTGTCGAGTCGGAACGCGCCGGAACGTCGTTCCGGCATATCTATTTTTGGCCCGAAAGGCGCTCCGGCAAAACAAAAATTAAAAATATTTGCTGTTTTTTATATTTTTTGGAGAAATGCAAGCGGCAAATGGACCGTACGTTATTCATCCTTGGCATAATTTATTGACATATCCAAATAGGCCTACGCCTAATGATAATAATTTTTGTACATTATACATTTGTTGTAAACTAATGTTCTGATGTTGGTTTCCAGTATTAGTAGATGTTTTTAACTTTATTAGTTTATTACATTGATGCCAAGAAAAATGACGACAGATTTTCATCTAAAATGCGCTTTGCTGGAAATTTCCCATCTTATTGTTAGTGTAAGAAGTTGTTTATTGACAGACAATTCCTGTCAAGCCTCATTAATAGTAGAACTATATAAGACTACATACAGAAAATGATTTGATAAGTGAATGAATATAAAAATATTTTTTGATAAGTAATATACATATATAAAAGAAGAGAACCATTTGAACTCGAACTGAACCGAAACAAATATGAGAACCGATTTTTGAACCGCCCTTTTAATTTTAGCGTTCCGGTTAATGAAATATTAGCACAACGCCACTGATTATATCATATCATAAATGATTTAAAGTAATTATTTAGTAGTACACTATAGAATTTTTAATTATTATAGGAGTAATGTTTGCCAAAACCCATGACGTGATGACATTATCCAGTGTCATATTTGGTATAGGAAACGGCGGCACGACAGCTACCACTAGGCCCTTAATCCGGCTATGCATAGGTGACTACAATTTCAATAAATTCGAAGGAGCTATAGATACCATGAGTGGGTTACTAATCATTGGTTTTGGCATATTCATCAGCATATTTTTACAGGACAAGGCGCTAATCAAAAAATGTTTTAGTGTATTATGCGCTGCTGAAATCGTTAGTATGATTTTCGTCGTGATTTTGCCATGTTTAGTGAAAGAATGTGCTAAATGCTGTCATGCGAATAAGAACCAATGTGTCTAGTCTTATCACGTCTTTACAGAAATTTTTACCTATTAGTATTATCTGTTTTGATCAATATTAAATATAAACTTCATCATATAATTACAAAGGTAATTATGTAAATTATGTCTTTATTTTTGATAGCCATATAGTATATTTTTGTATAAATTCTGCAAATTTAGGTTTTAATATTGATAAACATAATATATATATATATATATATATATATATATATATATATAATGATACTGATGATTTAATTGTAATTTCTTAACTTTCCGTAGAGTAAGTTTATAATAAATTAAATTATATGAAATTTTTTGCACATTTTCCCGTTTCAGAGGTTACTTAAACGTGAAGATGAACATTTTAGCATACCTCATACAAAATGGATGTGTGTGTGTTTGTGTATGTGTGTATATTTGGAGACAATTTTTTGTTGACGATTTTGGGCGTGCGGATTATCCGACTTGAATGGTTCAAAAAACATTCTATTTTTATTGATGAGGAGATGTGCGAGCAAGTAACGGCAACGGCACAGGGAGCTTGACTAATTCAAAGTAATGGTACAACGAATTCCAAGCAAAGGCAATGGTACAATGAGTTCGACTAAGTAAAAGGAATGGTGCAACAAGTTTGAACCAAGCGAGCAATGGTACAATGAGTTCAACCAACGCGTGGCAGTGGTATAAAGAGTTCGACCAAGTCAAATAGCACAAAGTTTGATTAAATCAAAGCAGTGGCACAAAGAATTCGACCAAGTCCAAGCCATTCTCACATACTATTGTAAGACAAGAGAGTTTAAGACACTAAGTTATTCAAACAATACAGCCATGCATAGGAGCATGTGAAGGTAAGAGATTGAAACATTCAAAATATACAAGGGTTCAAATCATTCCAAGAAGAAAAAAACTGCTGATCCCTAAGGTCATTCTATCAAAGACGAAAATTCAAAATAACATTGAAGAGAATTTTTCGCATAGTTGCTTACAGCAACTATCATAGATAACATTGTTAATATAAATAATTTATTTTAATAATTGATTACATTTATTTGCAAGTTAATCCGCTCCAATATCCAATAGTTCCTTCCGCTGCTTTTGCAATGGAACCTATCGGTTGCTGGTCTTTCACATACCTTTATACACCGGAACTGGCGCTTGAACTTCTGCCAAATACATAAAAAACAACGATATATTTATTAAATATTTATTATATATTAAATATTTATATTTTTATTAAATATTTATCTGCATTACAGATAGATTCTTTGTGAAGAAAACTTGAAATACTACCAATGGGTAGTATTTTTAAATTTTATTTATTATCTTAGTTACAACAATTACTGAATGCTTCCGTACACAAAACGTATAACACCAGGTCTGTTACTTCTCTTAAGCTAGCAAGACCAAATTAGCAAAATCGATCCGGACCTGTTGTATTATTTAGTACTTATTTTGCACTAATTTGCACCACAAAAAAAAAATTTGTACTACGTGCCGTTTAAAAAAAACACGTGGCGCTGCTAGCTTTAATATTAAGCTAGCAAGACCACTTTTTGTTTTTGAAGAAAATAAATAAAATTTAACGGAAATTGATTAATTCGAATTTGCACTAATTTGCACCACCAAAATTAAATAAAAAAAATCGAAAATAGCTACTAAAATCAATACCCCATGACGCCCGGTCCGCCCTAATATGATACTTCCATATTAGAGCGTTTTCAACGTACAAGTTCAAAGTATAGAAAAAAAAAAATTGAACGAGCAGAATCAAATGAAACTAATACAATAAAAACTTTATAATATCTAGTATTTAAATAGAGAATTTCAGATTTTGCACCACTGCCCTTCCCTCATTAATCAACCCCAAACTGTATTTACTTCCATATTGGAGCGTTTTCAACCTACAACTTCAAGGTGAAGAAAAAAAAATTGAACCAGCAGAATCAAATGAAACTAATACAATAAAAACATTATAATATCTAGTATTTAAATAATGTTTTTATTGTATTAGTTTCATTTGATTCTGCTGGTTCAATTTTTTTTTCTTTACTTTGAAGTTGCAGGTTGAAAACGCTCCAATATGGAAGTAAATACAGTTTGGGGTTGATTAATGAGGGAAGGGCAAAATCTGAAATTCTCTATTTAAATACTAGATATTATAATGTTTTTATTGTATTAGTTTCATTTGATTCTGCTCGTTCAATTTTTTTTTTTCTATACTTTGAACTCGTACGTTGAAAACGCTCCAATATGGAAGTAAATACAATTTGGGGTTGATTAATGAGGGAAGGGCAGTGGTGCAAAATCTGAAATTCTCTATTTAAATACTAAATATCATAATGTTTTTATTGTATTAGTATCATTTGATTCTGCTCGTTTAATTTTTTTTTCTATACTTTGAACTTGTACGTTGAAAACGCTCTAATATGGAAGTATCATATAGGGCGGACCGGGCGTCATGGGGTATTGATTTTAGTAGCTATTTTCGATTTTTATTCATTTAATTTTGGTGGTGCAAATTAGTGCAAATTCGAATTAATCAATTTCCGTTAAATTTTATTTATTTTCTTCAAAAACAAAAAGTGGTCTTGCTAGCTTAATATTAAAGCTAGCAGCGCCACGTGTTTTTTTTAAACGGCACGTAGTACAAATTTTTTTTTGTGGTGCAAATTAGTGCAAAATAAGTACTAAATAATACAACAGGTCCGGATCGATTTTGCTAATTTGGTCTTGCTAGCTTAAGAGAGGTAGGTCTGTTGACGTTGTGGAATAAGGCATGCACGGAATCACATCAGTTTGAATTTGGGACCCCAGGTATGCTCTCCTCGATCTCGATCGAGATGAGAGATACGCGCGAGAATCCCGCATCATCCCCTAATAAACCCCGCAGCATTTCCGAACAGGGGTGAGGGGGGATTATAGGGAGGTGTGGGGTTCGCGAACCCGCGCCCCTGTGGTCCCACCACCGAATATTTTTAAATCACTATATAAAAATACCCCTTTTCTTTTTTTCGTCGTGTTCTTATTCTATGGGCTGCTGGAGTGAATAGCCTGCATTGGCCTCACTTCCATTAGATTCTTTTTTTTTTGTTTATTGGCTTTTGATATACATCATAAGGCCAGATGACATTCTTACAATTGTTCACTACAAATTCTTATTGAATCATTAACTTATAAATTAATTTTAGTATTATTAATAAAATTTAATATATATTTATAAATTTTTAAATTATTACTGGCTACTAATGATTGTACATTGATTGGGAAAATAACATTTTTTTGAGTAAATTTATTATAAATGATTTTCTTTCGTTTTGGAATAAGTTGCATTCCCAAAACAGGTGATCTATTGTTTCCTCTCCGCTTCCGCAATCGCATGCTGAGTCCGTTATGATTCTTATTCTTTTCAAGTGGTTCTTGCAGAAGATAACCGAGATGAAAATTCTACTTTCTTCCACGTTTTCAAACCATGTATTTTGCGATACCTTATTATTTGTTAATGCGTATGTAATGCCTTTTGTTTTTGTCGATTCTGCAAAGAATGTTTGCCATCTTTCTATACACTGTAGTTTGATTACGTTAATTAATTCTAAGGATGGAATTTTGTCACAATCTTTGCCGCTATGGCAAGCTTCTTTTGCTAACGCATCTACTATCTCGTTACCATTTATATTTGCGTGTCCTTTAAGTCATACTAAAATCATTGACTTTTCTCCTACATTTCTTTCGTTGAGATTGTTTATAATTTCATATATCAATATATTTGTATGCTTGCTTGGATGGTTTATTGCGATTAGGCTCGATTTGCTATCACTGAAAATGATCGATTTATTTACATTTTTGTCTCTAACATATTTTGTTGCTACATGTAATGCCATCAGCTCCGCTATAAAGATGGAGACAAATTTTGGTAATTTAATTTTTTTTTTCCTATATTTGTGATTAGGTATATATATTGCACATCCAGTTCCATCTTCCATTTTTGAACCATCTGTATATATGTGAAGGCGATCGGGCCATTTTGAGTTTACTTTATTTTCAAATACCCAATTTTTTATTTGTTTATTTTTGATAGATTCTTCTATTAAGTTGGCCTCTGTTTTGGCGTTGGAATTTTTATATGAATAATATTGTGAAAATTGATAATAAGACTTGATTTCGCAAATTTTTACATATTTCTCATACGGTTTTAGGTCATAAAAGCTCGTTATTAAAGGGGGAGTAGGTCTGTTTGTCCAATATGGTTTAGATATATGTAATCTTGCCAATTCTTCTAGTTGTCTTGGAATATTATGGCAAGCGTTATTCAATTTTTTAACTAAAAATCTTTTAGCCAATAAACGTCTTTTTATATCTAGCGGTGTTTCACCTGCTTCACTCACAATCAGTAGAGCGTTTATTGGGGTAGAACGGATGGCTCCTAGACAGATCCTAACGGCTGAGTATTGTAATTTGTCTAGTTGATATTTTTCTTTTTGCCTCAAAGCACCATAAATGAAGCATCCGTAATGTAGCTGTGACCTTATCATATTTTTATATAGTAACAGACATGCTCCTGAGTGAGCACCCCATTTGGTACTGGTTACTTTACGAATGATGTTTAGCCCTTTTTCGCATTTTGTGTTAAGTTCCTGGATATGATGATTAAATGTCATCTTTGTATCAAATGTTATGCCCAAAAGTTTTATTTTATTTTTTATCGTGATTTCTTTATTGTTTATTTTTATATTGTCTGTACTACTAGGATAACGATGTTTTGTGAATATTGTAGCTGCATACTTGTCCTGAGATATATTTAAATTATTTAGGATTAACCATTTTTTAATTTCTTTAATTCCATCATTCATTTCTGCTATACACGATGTTAAAGTCGGTCTTGATATGTATATATAAATATCGTCTGCGTATTGCATTTTTTTAATGCTTGTGTGAAGAATATTATGAAAATCTGCGGTGCAAATATTAAATAATAAAGGACTAAGTATAGAGCCTTGTGCTATTCCTTTGCATGCAACTCTTGGTCTTATCAATCCG